TCTAACATCCTCTGAAGCAGCATTTATCTGATCGACGATCATATATTGTAGAATTGATATTTCGAATAGAAAAAAGACTCCATCTCGTGGACAATAACATGAATGGGACCATGATAGAGCACGCACAGATTAGATTTTCTAATCTATGTGATGTTAAAGGATTGATGGGTGAACTAAAACCGAATATGTATGATGGTATAAGGGTTATTGGGTTATTGGGTTGTTCTAGTCATCAGATGTTGAAGTACATAATGTATTTTCAACGTTGGTTGTGAGGTTATAGAGTTATTTGTCACTCTAGAATTTTCCTTGAATACATGTCTCCGTAAAAACATGGATATCTGCTCTTTTTCACGATTTTCTCGATTTTCCGAGAAACTCAAGGGTGATGGAGCAAGTCTGACACTGGATTTGGATTTAGCAGCCCAAAATACGTATAGTACACCTAGTCAGACTCCCAGCACAGACAACTTTTTTCAAATTGTGGGCCTGTGTTATCAGACTAAGAGACCGAAAGATTGGGAAACTGGAAAACTGAAAGGCTGGGAGAGATTGAGAGACTAAGAAACTGAAAAACTGGTAGGAAAGACAGTGAGAGGGGAGGAAGGGAGAGAGAGATAGAAGTCGTATGTAGCATCAACGTCTCGCGGATTGTCGCGTCACGTCAGTCGCGCGCATGTGAAAGTTCTCGCGTGCGGCTACGTAGCCCCGGACCTATTTAAATACATCACATTATATCTTGACGTGACGGTAACGTTCCTTTTCGTGACGGCAACGTCGACATTATAGGTACAGCCGGATTTCCCTTGAAATCCGTGCGATAGTGTGCGGCACGCCGACACGCACATACTGTGCGCATTCACCAGCTGCTAAAGCGTATCGCACGCTATCCAGGCAGATATTTCTTTCCTGGGAAACGCATATCGCGTAAACGTTAGAACGTGTGGTAAGATCATTCCATTGAAATCAGCCGTTTCCCGTCGCTGAAGAGAAGATCGTTTTCCACATAGATGGAAAATCTGTGATGGCAACGGAGGAATCCCCTCATCGATGGCCGCGGGAAGCGCTTCGAATCGCGCTTTCGCGTCGCGGGCTTTAAGATCAACGCGTAACGATCTCGCGACATCAATATCTCACGCGCACACGCGTGTTTTCGCAAGATATATCATTTGCTAAATCCACTCGCAGAGAAGACGCCAAAAATTCGCGACGCTCGGAGAATATTTCGCCTATGCGCGCACAACGGCATTTTTTCTAAATCCATTTGTGAAATATCCTTTTGCCGAGGAAATCGTATTTTTGTATCGAAAACTTTCGTTGGAAAAAAAGCGCGCGTGCGCGCGCGAGAGAGGGAGAGATAGGTAGGTAGAGAGAAGAGAGGAGAAAAGGGAGACAGAAAAAAAGAAAAAAACGAGAAATAAATGCAGGTAAAAAAAACATACGGATTGACGTTGCGGGAATTTTGCTGGAAAACACGGGACGTGCTTCGGGAGCGGACCCGTAGCCCCAGTTTCAACCAATTTTGTTTTCAGTCACACTGGATTTTGTTAACTCCGGCTACGTGGCCGCCTTTGATTAACTACAATTTTCGGCGTAAAGTCGTTTCGCCGCGACATAAAAGTCGACAAACATCGCAGCCGGAATAACGAACACGGAAATAACGAGTATCCGTGCACTAGTCGGTGTGTGGTCGTTCTTTTTCGTTTCGTTTAAAACTCGCGCGAATGGCGAGAACGCATGTTGTCGTTCTCGTCGTTGTCAGTGATGGTACGCGTATCGCAAATCCACGTGTACGCGATGTAATATTTGGCCGGGTACCGCAGCCGCTCACATTAGTCTCGTACTATGAAATTACCGTTAATGTGTGAGCATCCAACAGAAAGAGAGGGAGAGAGAGAGAGAGAGAGAGAGAGAGAGAGAGAGAGAGAGAGAGAGAGAGAGAATATCCATGCATTATTCCCCTTATTAAATTTTTACCGATATTACCATTTCGTGATTTTAAAACGTTGTCCAGGATCGTACGCTTTCGCATGAAATGTGTATGTAATTGTGATTATTAGATGCAAATTAATTAATTATCTTTCTATCTCTCTATAATGCAGAGAGAGACGCAACCCAAAATGCATCGAAAATCTCTACTTTTTGAATACACAAATGCGTGTTTATGATGCAGCTTGTATTATACGGTGCATTTTATTGCTCTCTCTCTCTCTCTCTCTCTCTTCTTTTTTTTTTCAGGATGACTGCAAAAAAGAGTGCACGCGGACATAAATCTCTGGACGCAAATATTAGTAAATTTAATTTTTTAATTTAATTTAACTTCGTGCATGTAATATTACATATACAAGTACGAATATATTAGCGCTGTTGCGCTCGCACATTTCAGACAAATGTAGCGCGATTGTTCCGTATGTATCCGACGTTTGGAAATAATAATTTATCCGTCTCACGTAATCCGCTCCACTCTTACATTCACGAATGCGCGATCCTTGATTAAGACGCGGAATTACACAGCGGACTGCAGCGCGGCGCAAATACCCGGGGTGCACGCACGAACTATCGCCAACTCCGAATTGCACTTCCGGATCAACCCGGTGTGCGGGCAAGCACTTTCTCAGTTGCGAATTATATTTCGTCAAGTGCCTCACAAAGCCAGACAGCCGTGCGCCGCGAATTTCCGGCTGTGCGCGATGTTTAGGGCGAGTTAGCGATTAGCACGGAATTGCGTGCGCTCTCGTCGACGTCGTACCGAAGTTGATTTTCAGCGGAAAGACGAGGATATCTCTGCTCTACTTTCATGTTTCAGGTTGTCGGCGACGACACTCGGAAGCCCAAGAGTCATCGTGATTCGGCTGCTCTCGAACGCGTCTGATTGCGGGAGGAAGGTGTTATCCTTGGTGAATAAAAAAAATATTTACCGAAAGTAAGTGTAATACGTCAGAGGTACTCATCACTTGGGAATCGAAACTGTTACCTAAGAAATAAAACAAGCTTATTCAAGATATGAGAACACAGTTCATAAACATGCATATATATACGAATCGAAATTTTAATCCTACTTTCAGCTTTATTATTCTATTCAACATCTATTTTGATATTCTGAAACCATTAGCCTTTTTTGATTCTATTTTTTAACCAACTCGAGTCAAAATTTTGATCCTACTTCAGCCTCACTGTTCCAACATTTATTTTGACGTTAAAGAAAGTGAAAAGGGGAATTTCGGACATC